TGCCGACTTTTTGGCGGACACTGTATACAAAACTTATAGCTATATATATATATAATAATATACACAATAGATTAGAATTAATATAATTATTATGGGGAAAAACAAAAGATAATACCCACAATTAAGTTAACGAAAAAACAAAAAGATCATTAAACGTCCAAGGTACGGACCGCCGAGAGGACCAAACTTACTAAGCGAGATGGACTATGTATATCTATAGCAGCAACCAACGCAATAGATTCACACCGGTCATTTACTATCTTATACAGCATAAAAACATCATTACAGAATTTCCATTCACTAAGGGAAACAAAATTAAAAAGTCTACAGGTAGACTCGTAATTAACGTTATTGACGTTAATTGATGCCTTTTAAAACATAAATACTTTAAAAATTGTTTTTGGATTTTTTCCAATCTATTTATATAAATGTCATACTGCGGACTCTACACCACGCTACAATAATTCAGCACACTAAAACTAAAAGAATAATATAAGGCCCTAATGGATGATACGTTTGAGAACTGTTCTGTGGAACGAGTAATAATGCCAAGCATACGCCAAGCCTTACTAACCACCCCATCAATGTGAACATCGAACTGTAATTGTTCATCCATAATAATGCCAAGATCTCTAACATGTGGGACTCTTGCGATAGTTACTTCATTCAATGTGTAATTGAAGGTAATGACATCTTTTCGCTTAAAAGTAATTACATTTTAAAGGGTTTAATGTTAACATATTTGATTGGCAATATCGCTCTAAGTTATCAACATCGCGCTGTAACTTGGAACAATGCACGGGTGACGAAACACGAAGATAGATTTTGAAGTCATCGGCATACATTAAACAGTTTGACCACCTAATGACACTGAAAATGTCATTAATGTACAGTTCTGTTCAGATATAATGCGAAAAGAGTCGCTCGTAGAGGCATAAAATTGTGCTAGAAACGACCTACGTTCACGAGACGTTCAATTCGGTTTAACCTGCTCTGTAGTCTTGTAAAAGTTCCGAACAGGCAAGCAGGGTGGTTTGATTTATGGCCAAGATGACTGAATCACAAAGAAAAATTAAGAAAATAAATAGGTATAAGCAATTCATTTACTTTACACAATTCCTGTAGTAAATGAAAATAATTACTAATAATTACTGTATTACTTTGGTAATACAGTGGAAGGATAAGTCGAACCTCAAAACGCCAGCAGCAGCGAGGAGTTGATCAGGTCGTCATCTACTACAAAATCTCACTACCACCGCCTTCGGACCACGATCACTACCACCCGGACCATGCGGCACTCGATGAAATCCGATGATATCGATAAAGTCACTCGAGGAATCACTCAGAATCCACAAAATACGAAGCACGATAAATGCACGTTCTTAGGTGCACATTACAACGAGGTATGAACTCGATCAGATGATTTCACCTGATTAAAATGAAACCAAAAATGTCAAACACATCGCAGAGCCTCGGCCGCAAGCGACCTTGGCTGACCTTGGAATCGAAAATCTACAATTTCGCCGTGTTATGATAGAACTGAATGGTTACACCAGATTTTTCATCTACGTTTAATGCTGTATGAAGCCAAAAATGTTAAACAGATTGCAGAGCCTCGGCTGTCAGTGACATGGGCTACACTTAAAATCAAAAATCTACGACTTTGCCTGGTTATGATAGAAATTGATGATTTCACCTGATTAAGCCGAGTTCGCTTGCTGCTGAGGGTCTATGTTTAATGCTGTGTAAATCCAAAAATGTTAAACAAATCCCAGAGCATCAGCCGCAAGTGACATCGGTTGAAGTTGGAATCGAAAATCTACAACTTCACCTGGTTATGATGGAACTAGATGGTCTCACCAGATTAAGCCGAGGTCGCTTACGGCCCAAAAATGTTATACAGTTTGCAGATCCTCGTTGTAAGCGACCTCGTCTAAACTTACAATCAAAAATCTACGACTTATGGTAGTCTTTAAAAGGTGGCAAGTTGAGTTTTCTTAACGTTTCATTTAGGTTTTCTTACACTGTCAAAAGGTGGCGAATACAGTTGTAATAAGAGTTGCATCTAGTTGGACATGGAGAAGTAAGAGAACTTCCAGTACACTCCAAGTACATCTCGGATGCTTTCGGATATCTAGAACATAGATTCCATACTGCTTGACATTTAGCGAAGGCTGCATCATGTAGTTTCTTGGGGGAAGGGGCTGGAAGTGAATGTGGGGAAGACAAGGATCATAAAGTTTTGTAAGGGTGGGAGAAAAAGAACAGAAAACTAGAGATGGGAGAGAAAAGAGATCGAGGAGGTTAGGGAGTATACTTACTTGGGACATGTGTTTAGGGAGGACAACAGGGAGGGGTCGCATGTGGGTTGGGGGAAGAGAGTCTTTGGAAGGAATGTGGCAACGAGGAAGATTATGTTTGAAGGTCTGGTTAGCAGTGTGATGATGTATGCAGCAAAGGTATGGGGATGGAGAGAGCAGGCAATGCTGGAGGACGTGCAAGGGGTATATAGTGAGGGAAGAGGTAAAGGTGGATAAGGTCAGAGTGGAGGCGGGCAGGATTGCAGTGAAATATGAAGAAAGAATAGAAGGGAGGCCAAACTGCGGGATCTTGGGGAAGTGTTGGAGAGAAAGTAGAGAGGGAAAGATCAGATATGGGAAAGGAGACAGAGACAACTATTATAAACGAGCGGGCTACTCGGTAACTGAGATAAATAGTAGACGAAGGGTGGGGTAGGGAGATGTGGAGGGAGTTGAGAGATAGGGACCGAGATGTGCAGAGACAGGAAAGAAGGACACAAATAAAAGAGGGAGGGTATAACGAAAGGTACAGGGACATAATTACGGAGGGGCTGCCTAGATACTTGTTATTGAAAGGAGATGAGGAAGGGAAGAAGTTGGTGGCTAGGTTCCGTTGTGGAAACGAGGAGAGAGCTAACAGATACTGGATGGCCGATGAGGAGGTGGTGTAGGCTATGCAGGGAGGAATGGGAAACGTTGGAACATATGTTGGCAGATCTTAGGAAAGGGGGGAGAGGGGAGACGATGGATGAGAATGGTTGTGGGGGTGAGGAGACAAAGGGATGGATGAGGGGATGATTGGGCCGAGGAGCCGAGGGTGTGGAAATGGAGGAAGAGGGTAGAGGGTGAATATAATATATTAATAATATAGATTAGATTGTATTAAAGGGAAAATTGTGAATATTAAAAAACAATAAAATGCTTATTATTATTATTATTATGAAGTTTCTTGCAAGGACTATTTTGTGTTCTAACTTGTTCTATATCCCTTGCAGCTATCAAATGCAGAGTATGAGTTGCATATCTCTCATGATAAGGAAGTAAATATTTGTCATGATTATCAGTTGGCTCCGGGAGTGCTGATGGAACTAAATCATCCTCATCATTATTATTTTCATCATCATCTGCAGAGCTATCGAAATTTTGTTCACTTTTTCCAAATTCTTCAAATGCCTTAACCATATTAGATCCATTATCAGTAACGGTTTTTACAATTTTGGATAACTTTAAATCATATTCTGAGTGAATGTCAGAAATTAGTTCGGCAACTTTGTCGTATGTGTGAAATCTTTTAAATCTCCTACATACAAGTGCAGCACTTTTTTCTTTGACACTATTATATATATCGTTTCATAACTCCATAAAATAAAATTTCTTGAAAATCTTAAATTTTTATTCGATTTAGGTTAAGTTAAAAATTGTTACTTCACTTTTTAACTTTTATCTCAAAATTTGTATAACCAAAAACAATTAAGTTTATGTACGGTCTTGAAGAGCAAGGTATCAGCTTCAATTTGAAGTATAAATTATTTCATAACTACATAAAATAAGGATATTACGATTTTTTTTTAAATTTTTAATTTTTATTCGTTTTAGGTTAAGTTAAAAATTGTTACTTCACATTTTAACGTTTATCCCAAAATTCTTATAACCAAAAGCAATTAAGTTTATATGCGGTCTTGAAGAGCTAAGTTTCAGCTTCAGTTTGAAGTATAAATTGTTTCATAACTCCTAAGAATAAAGTCAAAGCGATTTCTTGAAAATCTTCAATTTTTACTCATATTAGGTTAAATTAAAAATTGTTACTTCACTTTTTAACTTTTATCTCAAGATTTCTATAACCAAAAACAATTAAGTTTATATACGGTTTTGAAGAGCAAGGTTTCAGCTTCATTTTCATGTATAAATCGTTTCATCACTCCTGAAAATAAAGTCAAGACGATTTTGTGAAAATCTTGAATTTTTATTCGTTTTAGGTTAAGTTAAAAATTGTGACTTCACTTTTTAACTTTTATCTCAACATTTGTATAATCAAAAGTATTTAAGTTTATATGCGATCTTGAAGAGGAAGGTTTCTGCTTCAATTTGAAGTATAAATCATGTCATAACTCCTGAAAATAAGGATAATACGATTTTTTGAAAATCTTGAATTTTTATTCGTTTTTGTGTTAAATTAAAAATTGTTACTTCACTTTTTAACTTTTATCTCAAAATTTTTATAATCAAAAGTATTTAAGTTTATATACGATCTTGAAGAGGAAGGTTTCTGCTTCAATTTGAAGTATAAATCATTTCATAACTCCTAAAAATAAGGATAATACGATTTTTTGAAAATCTTGAATGTTTATTCGTTTTAAGTTAAGTTAAAAATTGTTACTTCACTTTTTAACTTTTATCTCAACATTTCTATAACAAAAAACAATCAAGTTTATATACGGCCTTGAAGAGCAAGGTTTCAGCTTCAATTTGAAGTATAAATTATTTCATAACTCCTAAAAATAAGGATAATACAATTTTTTGAAAATCTTGAATGTTTATTCGTTTTAAGTTAAGTTAAAAATTGTTACTTCACTTTTTAACTCTTCTACATGCAAGTGTAGCACTTTTTCGTTTGAGACTATTATATATAGATGGAAAAATTAGCAATGAAATTAAGTTTTCGACAACCATGTTAGAAAAGTTTAAGAAAAAAGTATTTAGTATTTTCAAAATACAAAATAAGTTACTAAAAGTATCTTAAATAAAGTAGGATTATCTGAGGCTCTAAATTTAATGCAGTATGAACCCAAAAATTGTCGATGTTTCGATCATCATAAACCTTATCATAAAACGTTTGAGTCGTGTGGTGATTTTCTTTAAGAGGTTTAATCAGCCAAGTCAGAGATAGAATTCTTTTCACATCAGTGTAAGCCCTCACCTTTCGTTTACCTTCCTTAAACATTAAGTTAATTGTACAAGAACTCTGGAGTCGATCAGATTTATGTGAATTTATCTAAAAAAGAGTAAAAATTACAATTAATTTTTTTTCTTTCAGCTTTCTCCAAGAATTATACAAAGTCGTTGTAGGACAATATGATATGTGCCACCCAAATAACGAAATAACAACATTTTCGATTAAAAAAATCATCCGACATGAACATTTCGATATAAACACGTATTATGCAGATATTATGCTGTTACATTTAAGTATGAAGATAAGGTTTAATTATTCCGTACGCCCTATTTGTCTGCCAAATTTAGGTAAGAAACTTTCTTTTTTATTAATTAACAAAAAAATGTATTAAAAAGTAATAAACTGAGGTTATTAATTACTAAAAGAATTAATTAATTAATTATGTTTTTAAAATTATAATCGCAATTAAATTTTCTATTGTTTGGTGCGAAATCTTATATATTAATTGGTTAATGCGAGAAATTAAAAGCAACCGCGGCCTAATTAAATTTATTAACGCAACGTTTATTACAAATTGAATAAAAAAAACATTTTGTGTATCTTTATAGGTAAAATAAAAAAGATTAAATGAAAAATAAGAAAGTTAATTCTATTTTAAAGAAGAAGAAAGGTCGTTAGTATGAAAATTTCACGTAAATTTCAAACGAGATTCGTTTCGGTCTCAAGTAAAATAATAAGAGAGGCATGTGATACGAAATATGATTTCCTCATCTATCATTTCCTTCCTCGTGTAATTTTGTTCGCTTCGTTAACGCCAAACACTTTTTTTTGTTGGATCTTTGTAAAGCAGTTTTTCTCTAGGAAATTATTTCGCGCATAAAATTAATTACAAATTAATAAAAATGTAGCAAATACAATACAACCTCGATATAACGGACTAATACGGTGAAGGGAGTATCTATTATATGAAAAATTATTAATGTATAGTATTAGAAGAAAGTAAAAATAACCTTCTCTAATATTTTATTTTATTGTGTTACTAATAGTTTTATATTAAGCTACGTCGATGTTTATAGTGTGTAGTGTTCGTTCATTCATGTTGATTTTATAGTATAACTGACGTAAGTGAAACATATTTCATTAATTGTATTTCCTTCTATATTATAACGTGAATGGTTATATATTGCAAAATGTTATTTTTATCTGTAGGTGATTACCTTGATAACGGTTTAATAAACCGAAACCGATAGGAATCAAAAACAAAATAAAAACATCAGGAAGTATAAAATTAACAAGTTTTATTGGATTCTATTAGAACTAGAAAGATTCGAGTTTAGCCGTGCATCTTCAGAAAATAAATGTATTATACGAGGTGACAGTACTGTAATATTTATCTCAAGATTTTTATAATGAAAAGTATATAAGTTTGTATACTGTCTTGAAGAGGAACGTTTCAGCTTCAATTTCATGTATAAATCGTTTTAGGACTCCTAAAAATAAAGTTAAAAGGATTTTTTGAAAATATTGAATTTTTATTCATACTAGGTTAACTTAGAAATTGATACTTCACTTTTTAACTTTTATCTCAAAATTTTTATAACCAAAAACAATTAAGTTTATATATGGTCTTGAAGAGCAAGGTTTCAGCTTCAATTTGAAGTATAAATCGTTTCATAACTCTAAAAAATAAGGACAATACGATTTCTTGAAAATCTTAAATTTTTATTCGATTTAGGTTAAGTTAAAAATTGTTACTTCACTTTTTAACTTTTATCTCAACATTTTTATAACAAAAAACAATTAAGTTTATATACGGTCTTGAAGAGCAAGGTTTCAGCGTCAATTTGAAGTATAAATTATTTCATAACTCCTGAAAATAAGGATAATACGATTTTTTGAAAATCTTGAATATTTATTCGTTTTAGGTTAAGTTAAAAATTGTTACTTCACTTTTTAACTTTTATCTCAACATTTTTATAACCAAAAACAATTAAGTTTATATATGGTCCTGAAGAGCAAGGTTTCAGCATCAATTTGCAGTATAAATCGTTTCATAACTCCAAAAAATAAGGACAATACGATTTCTTGAAAATCTTAAATTTTTATTCGATTTAGGTTAAGTTAAAAATTGTTACTTCACTTTTTAACTTTTATCTCAAAATTTGTATAATCAAAAGTATTTAAGTTTATATACGATCTTGAAGAGGAAGGTTTCAGCTTCAATTTGAAGTATAAATCATTTCATAACTCCTAAAAATAAGGATAATACGATTTTTTGAAAATCTTGAATTTTTATTAGTTTTAGTGTTAAATTAAAAATTGTTACTTCACTTTTTAACTTTTATCTCAAAATTTTTATAATCAAAAGTATTTAAGTTAATACATGATCTTGAAGAGGAAGGTTTCAGCTTCAATTTGAAGTATAAATCATTTCATAGCTGCTAAAAATAAGGATAATACAATTTTCTGAAAATCTTGAATTTTTATTCGTTTCAGATTAAGTTAAAAATTGTTAGCTCACTTTTTAATTTTTATCGCAAGATTTTATTATCAAAATTCAATTTGATATATAAATCGTTACATAACTCCTAGAAATAAGGACAATACGATTTCTTGAAAATATTGAACTTCTATTCATATTAGGTTAAGTTAAAAGCTGATAGTTCACTTTTTAACTTTTATCTCAAAATTTTTATAACCAAAAACAATTGAGTTTATATACGGTCTTGAAGAGCAAGGTTTCAGCTTCAATTTGAAGTATAAATCATTTCATAACTCCTGAAAATAAGGATAATACGATTTTTTTTTGAAAATCTTGAATTTTTATTCGTTTTAGATTAAGTTAAAAATTGATACTTTATTTCTTAACTTTTATCTCAAGATTTTTATAACAAAAAACAATGAAGTTTATATAACGTGTTGAAGAGCAAGGTTTCAGCTTCAATTTGAAGTATAAATCGTTTCATAATTCCAAAAAATAAAGACAATACGATTTTTTGAAAATCTTAAAATTTTATTCGATTTAGGTTAAGTTAAAAATTGTGTCTTGACTTTTTAACATGTATCTCAAGAATTCTATAACAAAAAACAATTAAATTTATATACGATCTTAAAGAGCAAGGTTTCAGCTTCAATTTGAAGTATAAATCATTTCATAACTCCTAACAATAAGGATAATACGATTTTTTGAAAATCTTGAATTTTTATTCGTTTTAGGTTAAGTTAAAAATTGTTACTTCACATTTTCACTTTTATTTCAAAATTTGTATAAGCAAAAGTATTTAAGTTTATATACGGTCTTGAAGAGGAAGGTTTCAGCTTCAATTTGAAGTATAAATTATTTCATAACTCCATAAAATAAGGATATTACGATATTTTGAAAATCTTTAATTTTTATTCGCTTTAGGTTAAGTTAGAAATTGTTACTTCACTTTTTAACTTTTATCTCAACATTTTTATAATCAACAGTATTTCAATTTATACATGGTCTTGAAAAAGAAGGTTTCAGCTTCAATTTCAGGTATAAATCGTTTCATGACTCCTAAAAATAAAGTCTAGACGATTTTTTGAAAGTATTGAATTTTTATTCATATTAGGTTAAGTTAAAAATTGATACTTCACTTTTTAACTTTTATCTCAAAATTTTTATAACCAAAAATAATTGAGTTTATATAAAGTTTTGAAGAGCAAGGTTTCAGCTTCAATTTGATATATAAATCATTTCATAACTCCTAAAAATAAGGATAATACGATTTTTTGAAAATCTTGAATTTTTATTCGTTTTAGGTTAAGTTAAAAATTGTTACTTCGCTTTTTAACTTTTATCTCAAAATTTGTATAAGCAAAAGTATTTAAGTTTATATACGGTCTTGAAGAGCAAGGTTTCAGCTTCAATTGGAAGTATAAATCATTTCATAACTTCTAAAAATAAGCATAATACGATTTTTTGAAAATCTTGAATTTTTATTCGTCTTAGGTTAAGTTAAAAATTGTTAGTTCTCTTTTTAACTTTTATCTGAAGATTTTTATAACAAAAGGCAATTAAGTTTATGTACGGTTTTGAAGAGGAAGGTTTCAGCTTCAATTTCATGTATAAATCGTTTCATAGCTCCTAAAAATAAAGACAATACGATTTTTTGAAAATTTTGAATTTTTGTTCGTTTTAAGTTAAGTTAAAAATTGTTACATTGTTGTGCTGTTTTATACCAAGATTTTTATATATTCAGACCACCCGTACCAGGGATTTTTCTCAAAAACGCGATTATCTAAGAAGTTGCAATAAAAAATATGATAATAAAATCGTATATGAAGAATCCTATGCACCAGTTTTTATCACACTGGTAACACCGGAAGTTGGTGGTAATGACATCAACTTAAAAATTTTCCAAGATTTTTAAAAATAAACAACTTTTGCTTTAACTCTTCTTAGATTTAATGCAACGTTTACGTGCTATTGATGAAAATCTTAAGGGACCGGCTGAAATTATTTTTCAATAATTTATGATTAAGTGAGCTATGACTTCCACATTTGACATTTATTATTAAAAAAATACTATGTTTACCAACGAAGACGCACTTGACATGTTAATGGTGTTGGGAGAATGTAAAGAAAACTTTCGGAAAGCAGCGCGAAGATATACGGCAAGATTTCCCGATCGTCCGCAACAGTTGCGGCATGTTTTTAAACGTTTGGCGAACCGAATAAAACGTACAGGTTGTGTGCAACCAACTCAGGACAAAGTCTTGCCGATTCGAAGAGTCAGAAGTGATCAGAAGAGAGGAAAGTACTGCTGAAGTTCTTGAAGCGGTGAACTTGAATCCACACGTTTCTACATGCCGGATTTCGATAGACTTAACATTAAGCCAATCAACAGTATGGAGAATGTTAAAGGAAAATCATTTGCATCCTTACCATCTTACAATTAGTGTCTATCAGGCTCTTAATGGACGAAATTTTGAAGAAGGCTGGCTTTTTGTAATTGGATTTTGGATCATGATCATGCGATTTTCCTAGACGGATTAAAAACTGGTGCATTGGATTCATCATATACGATTTTATTATCATATTTTTTATTGCAACTTCTTAGGTATACCGGGTGGTCTGAATCACTCGGTATACGGTCTTGAAGAGCAAGGTTTCAGCTTCAATTTGAAGTATAAATCATTTCATAACTCTTAAAAATAAGGATAATACGATTTTTTGAAAATCTTGAACTTTTATTCGTTTTAGATTAAGTTAAAAATTGTGAACTCACTTTTTAATTTTTATATCAAGATTTTGATAATCAAAAGTATTTCAATTAATACATGGTCTTGAAGAAGAAGGTTTCAGCTTCAATTTCAGGTATAAATCGTTTCATAACTCCTAAAAATAAAGTCAAGAGGATTTTTTGAAAGTATTGAATTATTATTCATATTAGGTTAGGTAAGTTAAAAATTGATACTTCACTTTTTAACTTTTATCTCAAAATTTTTATAATCAAAAGTATTTTAGTTTATATACGGTCTTGAAGAGGAAGGTTTCAGCATCAATTTGAAGTATAAATCATTTCATAACTCCTAAAAATAAGGATAATACGATTTTTTGAAAATCTTGAATTTTTATTCGTTTTAGGTTATGTTAAAAATTGTTACTTCACTTTTTAACTTTTATCTCAAAATTTTTATAATCAAAAGTATTTTAGTTTATATACGATCTTAAAGAGCAAGATTTCAGCTTCAATTTGAAGTATAAATCATTTCATAACTCCTGAAAATAAGGATAATACGATTTTTTGAAAATCTTGATTTTTATTCGTTTTAGATTAAGTTAAAAATTGAGACTTTATTTCTTACCTTTTATCTCAAGATTTTTATAACAAAAAACTATGAAGTTTATATACGGTCTTGAAGAGCAAGGTTTTAGCTTCAATTTGATATATAAATCGTTTCATAACTCCTAGAAATAAGGACAATACGATTTTTTGAAAATTTTGAATTATTATTCGTATTAGGTTAAGTTAAAAATTGTTACTTCACTTTTTAACTTTTATCTCAAAATTTGTATAATCAAAGGTATTTAAGTTTCTATACGGTCTTGAAGAGGAAGGTTTCAGCTTCAACTTCATGTATAAATCGTTTCATGACTCCTAAAAATAAAGCCAAGAGCATTCTTTGAAATCTGGAATTTTACTGTATAACAAAATCGTTTTTTTTTGTTGTAGGAATATCAGGTGTTTCTGAAATTTACTCAAACAGAAAAGGTGTGGTGGCTGGTTGGGGATCAACAAACGCATTTTCACTTCTATATTCTTGTATACCCAACAAATTGGCTTTACCAATTTTCGCACAAAAAGATTGCAACGCAACAGCTTCGACTCTTTTTTGTGCTGGATTTGTAGGTGGGGGAAGAGATACGTGTAAGGTAAATTAAACTAAATAAATCCCTAATGATTTAAGATAATCAAAATTTTTATTACAGGGCGATTCAGGGAGTCCGTTTCAAATTCGAAATTTATATAAACGATATGAATTAATAGGTAAATAATTATGAATCAAATATAATTTATTTTTTAATTTTTTTGTAAGGAATCGTTTCAAGTGGGATTGGATGCGCACTTCCAGGTAATCCTGGTCAATACACCGATGTTAGTTTATTTGTTCCTTGGATAATAAAACATTTATCTAAATACTCATATTGTTGGTAAAAAGAAATAAATTTATACTTTCTATAAATAAAATTGAAGACATCGTAGTTATTAAAATGACTGAGAATGTGAAATCGACGACGTCGTCTTTTTAATGTTAAACGCTTCCAATACGAAGACATTTATGGTAGGCTTGCAAATCTTTCCTCTTATAATTTGAACTAGACACCATTTCCCTTGGCACAGAGACGAGAATCGTGTGTAGCTTGTACCGTTTCACTTACCTCGCTCGTTTTCTAAGTTCATTGGCAACGAAAGTGCACATTTTCTAGGTGCAGGTGTAGTAGGTCAGATAAAATTACCGGGTTTTGACCGAGAACTTGCAAGTTTCTCTACGATATTTTACTTAAATAAATTAAAACTAAAAAAAAATAATCAAAGTCTTAGTTTCACTCTCTATGTATCAAGTCTCGTTTATAATTAAAAAGATTAAACAATAAATTGTGTGGGTTTAATTTCGCCTCCAATTATTAAAAGAAAAAAAAAGTTATTGTATTATTATTATTAATGTGGTTATTGTATTGTCTTTGTTGAAATTTTCTTTTAGTTTTGTGCAATTGCTTTAACGAGGGTTCATTTGAGGTAAGTTTAATACGAAATAATTAGTGTTCTCGGTTACGTACAAAACCGAAAATGTCTCGGTTTGTTAACATATGTAATTTACGAGATTAGTCTTGATTATTTTACGCAAGAACAAATTCATTTCGTTTCGCAACATCTTTAAATTGTGTCACCGCCGTAAGATATTATGATTAATGATTAAATTGGTTTTGAAACTTGAAATGAAACAGAAAACCATAAAACCGAATAAGATGGAAATTTCATTTTCACTTCCACATACTTAACACTCTTTAAATAATGACTTCTATTTGTAGTCGTTGAGAACGTAAAATCTTTTTTGAAAAATATGCTGCATTTGTGTTAAACAAATAGAACATTTCGCAACTATATCTACACAGGAAGATGTAGCAAAAAAAACAATCTTTGAGGTAATATTGAGACAGAAAAACTAACACAAAAAAACTGCGTTCACAAAATTTAATGTTCTTCAACTTTGTTCTCTTCTAATTTTGCTCTTCAAGGATACGAATTGAGAAATTATGAAAAAAACAATAATCTATCAATTTAATGATATCTTCCTATGAAAGTCGAAAAATATGACTCGAACAAAGAAGATATAATAAGAAAAGTTGTAGGAAATTTTATCTTCTATAATTTTGGTCTCTTTTGCTTTTGCTCCCCGAAGCATAGGAACTGAGAAATTGCGAAACAAACTAGCAAAAACTGGATAATCTGTCAATTTATTGATATCTTCCTATAAATGTCGAAAAATATAACTCGAACAAAGAAGATGCAATAAGAAAAGTTGTAGGAAATTTTGTCTTCTATAATTTTGCTCTCTTTTACTTTTGCTCTTCGAAGCATAGGAAATGTAAAATAGTGAAAAAACTAGGGAAAATTGTAATCTGCTGTCAATTTATTGATATCTTCCTATGAATGTCGAAAAATATAACTCGAACAAAGAAGATGTAATAAGAAAAGTTAATCTTCTATAATTTTGCTCTCTTTTGCTTTTGCTCTCCGAAGCATAGGAAATGTGAAATTGCAAAAAAACTAAGCAAAACTGTATAATCTGTCAATTTATTGATATCTTCCTATGAATGTCGAAAAATATAACTAAAACAAAGAAGATGCAATAAGAAAAGTTGTAGGAAAAGTTATCTTCTATAATTTTGCTCTCCATTGCTTTTGCTCTTCGAAGCATAGGAAATGTGAAATAGCGAAAAAATTTGGAAAAACTGTATAATCTGTCAATTTATTGATATCTTCCTATGAAAGTCGAAAAATATAACTCGAACAAAGAAGATGCAATACGAAAAGTTATAGGAAATTTAATCTTCTATAATTTTGTTCTCTTTTGCTTTTGCTCTCCGAAGCATAGGAAATGTGTAATTGCAAAACAAACTAGCGAAAACAGTATAATCTGCCAATTTATTGATATCTTCCTATGAATGTCGAAAAAGATAACTCGAACAAAGAAGATGCAATACGAAAAGTTATAGGAAATTTAATCTTCTATAATTTTGTTCTCTTTTGCTTTTGCTCTCCGAAGCATAGGAAATGTGTAATTGCAAAACAAACTAGCGAAAACAGTATAATCTGCCAATTTATTGATATCTTCCTATGAATGTCGAAAAAGATAACTCGAACAAAGAAGATGCAATACGAAAAGTTATAGGAAATTTAATCTTCTATAATTTTGTTCTCTTTTGCTTTTGCTCTCCGAAGCATAGGAAATGTGTAATTGCAAAACAAACTAGCGAAAACAGTATAATCTGCCAATTTATTGATATCTTCCTATGAATGTCGAAAAAGATAACTCGAACAAAGAAGATGCAATAAGAAAAGTTGTAGGAAATTTAATCTTCTATAATTTTGCTCTGTTTTGCTTTTGCTCTCCGAAGCATAAGAAATGTGAAATTGCAAAAAAACTAGGAAAAACTATATAATCTGTCAATTTATTGATGTCTTCCTATGAATGTCGAAAAATATAACCCGAACAAAGAAGATGCAATAAGAAAAGTTGTAGGAAAATTTATCTTCTATAATTTTACTCTCTTTTGCTTTTGCTCTCCGAAGCATAGGAAATGTGAAATTGCAAAAAAACTAGGGAAAACTGTATAATCTGTCAATTTATTGATATCTTCCTATGAAAGTGGAAAAATATAACTCGAACAAAGAAGATGCAATAAGAAAAGTCGTAGGAAATTTAATCTTGTATAATTTTGCTCTCCTTTGTTTTTGCTCTTCGAACCATAGGAAATGTGAAATTGCAAAAAAACTAGGAAAAACTGTATAATCTGTCAATTTATTGATATCTTCCTATGAATGTCGAAAAATATAACTCGAACAAAGAAGATATAATAAGAAAAGTTATAGGAAAGTTAATCTTCTATAATTTTGCTCTCTTTTGCTTTTGCTCTCCGAAGCATAGGAAATGTGAAATTGCAAAGAAACTAGGGATAACTGTATAATCTGTCAATTTATTGATATCTTCCTATGAATGTCGAAAAATATAACTCGAACAAAGAAGATATAATAAGAAAAGTTATAGGAAAGTTAATCTTCTATAATTTTGCTCTCTTTTGCTTTTGCTCTCCGAAGCATAGGAAATGTGAAATTGCAAAGAAACTAGGGATAACTGTATAATCTGTCAATTTATTGATATCTTCCTATGAATGTCGAAAAATATAACTCGAACAAAGAAGATATAATAAGAAAAGTTATAGGAAAGTTAATCTTCTATAATTTTGCTCTCTTTTGCTTTTGCTCTCCGAAGCATAGGAAATGTGAAATTGCAAAGAAACTAGGGATAACTGTATAATCTGTCAATTTATTGATATCTTCCTATGAATGTCGAAAAATATAACTCGAACAAAGAAGATATAATAAGAAAAGTTATAGGAAAGTTAATCTTCTATAATTTTGCTCTCTTTTGCTTTTGCTCTCCGAAGCATAGGAAATGTGAAATTGCAAAGAAACTAGGGATAACTGTATAATCTGTCAATTTATTGATATCTTCCTATGAATGTCGAAAAATATAACTCGAACAAAGAAGATGCAATAAGAGAAGTTCTAGGAAATTTAATCTTCTATAATTTTGCTCTCTTTAGCTTTTGCTCTCCGACGCATGAAAAAGGAGATAGTATTGATTGACTAGTATCACATTGTCACGTCCAGTTTTCGGCATTGTTTCCAATACCAGCATGTTAATACTTCTGCAAACAGTATCTAGTCTTCTACCAGCAGCATTACGTCTTCTGCAAGCACTGTCTAGTCGTCTGCCAGAAATACCCAAGTAACTTGTAACAGTTTTAGTTATAATTTTCTAAGTTTAAAATAACAAATTATAAGTTAACTTAAAATATTTGTTGAAAGAAAATTCTTAACTAATTATTCTAAGATTAATGGTAATTTAACTTTCGATCGCCAACTGACTCTTTCTTTCTTCAAAATAATTCCATCCACTTTTCCTATTTTTCCTGCCTTTATTAGATTATTGTACCCTTTCTTTTCCGTCTCTAATCAGTTTTCTCCAAAGTCTCTTTTAAAAGAAATACAATGGAAGAAAACGAAAGTCTCCTCTCCGTTACTTTTCTTCGCAGTGTTTGAAACGGATGGTGATGCAGTTCGGTGCATGCTGCATAGAAAGCTTTCGATTATTATTAACAGTAGAGAGAACGCAAAAAATAATTCTCCCACTTTTCTTCCTTCCTATCAACCGAGTGGATATTAAAGCTCGCACGTGAACGTTTTGCGACTCACAAAAACGTACAATTTACTTCAGCTCTCATCGAGACGTTAGATTCCAAAATAGTTTCATTATTTTAAGATTTACTTTCAACGTAAAGAATTCTATTTTTTTTTTTTTCATTTTTTGGAGTTGGTGTGTTGAAGTAAGTTTTAAAAAAAATTTGAAGATTAACGATTTTGTGATTCATCGAGAAGATACATCAAGAAGATTCAATGGAGATTCAAGAAATATACAAGATTTAACGAAAAAAATTACGCTTTAAAGAAAAATTTTAAAATAATAATAAAAAGAAAAATTCGAGAAGATTGAGAAAGAGAAGTTTGAAATACTTTTAATTCAAATAGTAAAAGCTTTGAAACAAATCATTTTGTTTCTTAATAAAAAGTTTTATTACTATTAAAAAATATGGCGCCAAATTCTAAGGATATTCCAATTCCTGATCAAGGAAATAAGAACGTCAATTTAAACGAGATCAAATTACCTGCAGATATAGGCACGGATTGGGAATTTAAAAGACCTTGGGTTTGGAAGAACATAATCGGCTTCATTCTTCTTCATTTGGCTTGCATTTATGGTATTTACAGAGCTATTTATTATGCTAAATCGATAACATCAATTTGGGGTAAGTTTTGTTTGTTAATAATTAATCAAAATTGGATAAAATTAAGTAGTTTAGAACAACTCTTTGAATTCATAAAAGTTCATAACCCAGTTTTACACATATAAAATAAATAAACTAATACCAACTAGTAACTGTAATAACAGCAACCATAATGTTACTAAGATAAAAGGAGACATATTTACATATTATATAACCATTAAAATATATAAATCATAATTTTTAAAGTTCTAAACTCAAATTTATTAATTTTTTTAGTTTTATTTTTGTTATTTTGAAGTGATTAAATTGGTAGCATTGATTGTTGAAACAAAACCATTTGTTGGATTTGTTAGTTGGATCAATAAGGAACATTTTTTATATAAAAAGTTTTTTCTACATATTTTTATTGTGAAGTTACATTTAATTTTTATGTAAAAATATGTAAATTTCACATTTTTTGATATTTTGTGGTGATTAAGTTGGTAACATCGATTACGAAAAGGTATCTTTTTATTAAATTTGTTATTTGGATCAATAAGGATCATTTTTTATATAAAAGTATTTTTGTGTATCGTTTTATTCAGGAGTTACAACAATTTTATTGGCAAAAGTATGAAAATTTAACTTTTTTGTGATTTTGAGGCGATTAAGTTGGTAATATTGATTCTAGGAACAAATCCCTATATTAGTATTATTAGTTAAATCAATAAGGAATACTTTTATATATAAAAAGTTTTGTCTACATCTTGTTATTTTGAAGTTACAATTAATTTTTATGTAGAAATTCGTAAATTTCACATTTTTTGGTATTTTGTGGCGATCAAATTGGTAACATCGATTATAGAAAGGTACCTTTTTATTAAATTTGTTATTTGGATCAATAATTAACATTTTTTATATAAAAGTGTTTTTGTGTATCGTTTTATTTAAGAATTACAACAATTTTATTAAAAAAAATCTGAAAATTTAATATTTTCGTAATTTTGAAGAGATTCAGTTGGTAGTATTGATTGTTGGAATAAAACCCTATATTAGATTTGTTAGTTGTATCAATACGGAACATTTTTTACATAAAAAAAATCTTGTGTATCGTTTTAGTTAGAAGTTACAATAAATTTATTGGCAAAAATATGAAAATTTAACTTTTTTGTAATTTTGAGGCGATTAACTTGGTAATATTGATTCTTGAAACAAATCCCTATCTTAGCATTATCAGTTAAATCAATAAGGAATACTTCTTCATATAAAAAGTTTTTTCTGCGTCTTTTTATTTTGAAGTTACAATTAATTTTTATGTAAAATTACGTAAATTTNAACAAAACCATTTGTTGGATTTGTTAGTTGGATCAATAAGGAACATTTTTTATATAAAAAGTTTTTTCTACATATTTTTATTGTGAAGTTACATTTAATTTTTATGTAAAAATATGTAAATTTCACATTTTTTGATATTTTGTGGTGATTAAGGTATCTTTTGGTATCTTTTTATTAAATTTGTTATTTACATCAATAACGATCATTTTTTATATAAAAGTGTTTTTGTGTATCGTTTTTTTCAGGAGTTACAATAATTTTATTGGCAAAAGTATGAAAATTCAACTTTTTTGTAACTTTGAGGCGATTAAATTGGTAGTATTGATTCTTGGAACAAATCACTATATTAGTATTATTAGTTAAATCAATAAAGAATACTTTTTTGTATGCAAAGGTTTTTCTATATCTTTTTATTTTGAAGTTACACTTAATTTTCATGTAAAAATACATAAATTTCACATTCTTTGATATTTTGTGCCGATTAAGTTGGTGATATTGATTCTAGGAACAAATTCTTATATTAGTATTATTAGTTAAATCAATAAGGAATATTTTTTTGTATAAAAAGGTTTTTCTACGTTTTTTTATTTTGAAGTTACATTAAATTTTTATGTAAAAATACATAAATTTCACATTTTTTGATATTTCGTGGCGATTAAGTTGGTAATATTGATTCTAGGAAAAAATTCTTATATTAGTATTACTAGTTAAATCAATAAGCAATACTTTTTTATATAAAAAGATTTTTCTGCATCTTTTTATTTTGATGTTACAATTATTCTTTATGTAAAAATACCTAAATTTCACATTTCTTTATATTTTGGGGTGATTAAGTTGGTAACATCGATTTGCAAAAATATCTTTTCATTAAATTTGATATTTGTATCAATAAGGAACATTTTTCTATAAAACTATTTTGTGTATCGTTTTATTTAGGAGTTATAACAATTTTAATTATAAAAATATGAAAATTTAATATTTTGGTAGTTTTGAGGCAATTAAGTTGGTAATATTGATTGTTGGAACAAAACTTTATATTAGATTTGTTAGTTAAATTAATAAGGAAAATTTTTAGTATAATAAAATTCTTGTGCACCGTTATATTTAGAAGTTACAATAATTTTATTGGCAAAAGTATGAAAATTTAACTTTTTTGTAACTTTGAGGCCATTAAACTGGTAGTATTGATTCTTGGAACAAATCCCTATATTAGTATTATTAGTTAAATCAATAAGGAATGCTTTTTTGTATAAAAAGGTTTTTCTACATCTTTTTATTTTAAAATTACAATTAATTTTTATGTAAAAATACATAAATTTCACATTTTTTGATATTTTGTGGTGGTTAAGTTGGTAACATCGATTTTGGAAAAATACCTTTTTATTAAATTTGTTATTTGGATCAATAAGGAATATTTTTTATATAAAAGTGTATTTGTGTATCATTTTATTTAGGAGATACAACAATTTTATTCATAAAAATCTGAAAATTTAATATTTTTGTAATTTTGAGGCGATTAAGTTGGTAGTATTGATTGTTGCAATAAAACCCTATACTAGATTTGTTAGTTGCATCAATAAGGAATATTTTTTGAATAAAAAAATTCTTGTGTACCGCATTATTTAGAAATTACAATAATTTTATTGGCAAAAGTATGAAAATATAACTTTTCTATGATTTTGAGGCGATTAAGTTGGTAATATCGATTCTAGGAACAAATCCCTATATTAGTATTATTAGTTAAATCAATAAGGAATACTTTTATATATAAAAAGTTTTGTCTACATCTTTTTATTTTGAAGTTACAATTAATTTTTATGTAGAAATTCGTAAATTTCACATTTTTTGATATTTTGTGGCGATTAAATTGGTAACATCGATTATAGAAAGGTACCTTTTTATTAAATTTGTTATTTGGATCAATAAGGAACATTTTTTATATAAAAGTATTTTTGTGTATCATTTTATTTAGGAGTTACAACAATTTTATTCATAAAAATCAGAAAATTTAATTTTTTTGTAATTTTGAGGCGATTAAGTTGGTAATATTGATTCTTGGAACAAATCCCTATATTAATATTATTAGTTAAATCAATAAGGAATACTTTTTTATATAAAAAGTTTTTTCTATATTTTTATTTTAAAATTACATTTAATTTTTATGTAAAAATACATAAATTTTACATTTTTTTATATTTTGTGCTGATTAAGTTGGTAACATCGATTTTGGAAAGATACCTTTTTATTAAAATTGTTATTTGGATCAATAAGGAACATTTTTTATATAAAAGTGTTTTTGTGTATCGTTTCTTTTAAGAATTACAACAATTTTATTCAAAAAAATCTGAAAATTTAATATTTTCGTAATTTTGAGGCGATTAAGTTGGTAGTATTGATTGTTGGAATAAAACCCTATATTAGATTTGTTAGTTGCATCAATCAGGAACATATTTAGCATAAAAAAATCTTGTGTATTGTTTTATTTAGAAGTTACAATAATTTTATTGGCAAAAATATGAAAATTTAACTTTTTTTAGTAATTTTGAGGCGATTAAGTTGGTAATATTGATTCTTGAAACAAATACCTATATTAGTATTATTAGTTAAATCAATGAGGAATACTTCTTCATATAAAACGTTTTTTCTGCGTCTTTTTATTTTGAAGTTACAATTAATTTTTATGTAAAATTACGTAAATTTTACATTTTCCGCTATTTTGTAGTGATTAAGTAAACATCGATTATGGAAAGATATATTGATTGTTGGAATAAAACCCTATTGTGGATTTGATAGATTGTTTATTAAACCGTAATCAAAGTCCAATAAATAATATTAAAAATAGTATAACTGACGTGATTACCTTGATGTCGGTTTAATAAACAGGAACCGGTAGGAATCAAAAACAAAACAAAAACATCAAGAAATATAAAGTTAACAAGTTTTTTTGAATTCTGTTTTTATTTTGAAGATACAATTAATTTTTATGTAAAAATACATAAATTTAATATTTTTAATATTTTGAGGGTATTAAGTTGGTAACATCGATTTTGGAAAGATACCTTTTTATTAAATTTGTTATTTGAATCAAAAAGGAACATTTTTTATACAACAGTATTTTTGTGTATCGTTTTATTTAGGAGTAACAACAATTTTATTCATAAAAATCTGAAAAATTAACTTTTTTGTTATTTTGAGGCGATTAAGTTGGTAATATTGATTCTTGGAACAAATCCCTATATTAGTATAATTAGTTAAATCAATAAGGAATCCTTTTTTATATAAAAAGTTTTTTCTACATCCTTTTATTTTGAAGTTAGAATTAATTTTTATGTAAAAATACGTAAATTTCACATATCTTAATATGTTGAGATGATTAAGTTGGTAACACTGATTTTGGAAAGATATCGTTTAATTAAACTTGTTATTTGGAGCAATAAGGAACACTCTTTATATAAAAGTATTTTTGTGTATCGTTTTATTTAGGAGTTACAACAATTTTATTCATAAAAATCTAAAAATTTAATGTTTTCTAAATTTTGAGGCGGTTAAGTTGGTAGTATTGATTATTGCAATAGAACCCTATATTAGATTTGTTAATTGGATCAATAAGGAATATTTTTTGCAAAAAAAATTGTTGTGTACCGTTTTGTTTAGAAGTTACAATAATTTAATTGGCAAAAGTATGAAAATTTAACTTTTTTGTAATTTTCAGGCGATTAAGTTGGTAATATTGATTCTTGGAACAAATCTCTATATTAGTATTATTAGTTGAATCAATAAAGAATACTTTTTTATATAAAAAGTGTTTTCTACATCTTTTTATTTTGAAGTTACAATTAATATTTATGTAAAAGTACGTAAATTTCACATTTTTTAATATTTTGTGGTGATTAAGTTGGTAACATCGATTTGGAAAAATATCTTTTTATTAAATTTGTTATTTGGATCAATAAGGATCATTTTTTATATAAAAGTGTTTTTGTGTATCGTTTTATTTAGGAGTTACAACAATTTTCTTCATAAAAATTTGAAAATTTAATATTATTGCAATTTTGAGGTGATTAAGTTGGTAGTATTGATTGTTGGAATAAAACTTTATATTAGATTTGTTAGTTGAGTCAATGAGGAACATTTTTTGTATAAAAAAATTCTTATGTACCGTTTTATTTAGAAGTTACAATAATTTTATTGGCAAAAGTATGAAAATTTAACTTTTTTGGAATATTGAGGCGACTAAGTTGGTAATATTGATTCTTAAAACAAATCCCTATATTAGCATTATTAGTTAAATCAATACGGTATACTTTTTTATATAAAATTTTTTTCTGCATCCTTTTATTTTGAAGTTAGAATTAATTTTTATGTAAAAATACGTAAACTTCATATTTCTTGATATGTTGAGATGATTAAGTTGGTAACATTGATTTTGGAAATATATCGTTTAATTAAACTTGTTATTTGGATCAATAAGGAACACTCTTTATATAAAAGTATTTTTGTGTATCGTTTTATTTAGGAGTTACAACAATTTTATTCATAAAAATCTAAAAATTTAATGTTTTCTAAATTTTGAGGCGGTTAAGTTGGTAGTATTGATTGTTGCAATAAAACCCTATATTAGATTTGTTAATTGGATCAATAAGGAACATTTTTTGCAAAAAAAATTGTTGTGTACCGTTTTATTTAGAAGTTACAATAATTTAATTGGCAAAAGTATGAAAATTTAGCCTTTTTGTAATTTTCAGGCGATTAAGTTGGTAATATTGATTCTTGTAACAAATCTCTATATTGGTATTATTAGTTGAATCAATAAAGAATACTTTTTTATATAAAAAGTGTTTTCTACATCTTTCTATTTTGAAGTTACAATTAATTTTTAACGTAAAAGAACGTAAATTTCACATTTTTTAATATTTTGTGGTGATTAAGTTGGTAACATCGATTTGGAAAAATATCTTTTTATTAAATTTGTTATTTGGATCAATAAGGATCATTTTTTATATAAAAGTGTTTTTGTGTATCGTTTTATTTAGGAGTTACAACAACTGTCTTAATAAAAATCTGAAAATTTAATATTATCGTAATTTTGAGGCGGTTAAGTTGGTAGTATTGATTATTGGAATAAAACCCTATACTAGATTTGTTAGGTGCATCAATAAGGAACATTTTTTGCATAAAAAAATTCTTGTGTACCGTTTTATTTAGAAATTACAATAATTTTATTGGCGAAAGTATGAAAATTTAACTTTTTTGTAATTTTCTTGCGATTAAGTTGGTAATATTGATTCTTGTAACAAATCTCTATATTAGTATTATTAGTTGAATCAATAATGAATATTTTTTTATATAAAAAGTGTTTTCTACATATTTCTATTTTGAAGTTACAATTAATTTTTAACGTAAAAGAACGTAAATTTCACATTTTTTAATATTTTGTGGTGATTAAGTTGGTAACATCGATTTGGAAAAATATCTTTTTATTAAATTTGTTATTTGGATCAATAAGGATCATTTTTTATATAAAAGTGTTTTTGTGTATCGTTTTATTTAGGAGTTACAACAACTGTCTTAATAAAAATCTGAAAATTTAATATTATCGTAATTTTGAGGCGGTTAAGTTGGTAGTATTGATTGTTAGAATAAAACCTCATATTAGATTTGTTAGTTGAATCAATGAGGAACATTTTTTGCATAAAAAAATTCTTATGTACCGTTTTATTTAGAAGTTACAATAATGTTATTGAAAAAAGTATTAAAATTTAACTTTTTTGGAATTTTGAGGCGACTAAGTTGGTAATATTGATTCTTAAAACAAATTCCTATATTAGCATTATTAGTTAAATCAATACGGTATACTTTTTTATATAAACAATTTTTTCTGCATCTTTTTATTTTGAAATTACAATTAATTTTTATGTAAAAATACATAAATTTCACATTTTTTGATATTTTGTGATGATTAAGTTGGTAACATCGATTATGGAAAGATACCTTTTTATTAAATTTGTTATGTGGATCAATAAGGAATATTTTTTATATAAAAGTATTCTTGTGTACCGTTTTATTTAGATGTTACAATAATTTTATTGGCAAAAATATGAAAATTTACTTTTTTTGTAGCTTTGAGGTGATTAAGTTGGTAATATTGATTCTTGGAGCAAATCCCTTTATTAGTATTATTAATTAAATCAATAAGGAATACTTTTTTATATAAACAGTTTTTTGTACATCTGAAGTTACAATTAATTTTTGATTTACTTTACATCTTTATTTTTTTCAGCACTACTAGTTCTTTTTGGTTCCGGTGAAGGGGTAACCATCGGCGGTCACAGATTATACGCCCATAAAGCCTTTAAAGCAAAATTTTTAACAAGACTCGCATTAATTTTGCTCCATACTGTAGCTGGACAAGTAAGTACTATATAGAAATATGTTTTGTGCGATTTCGAAACAATTAATTTAAATTTCCTAGTATAGTCTCATCTTTATACCAACCTTAATCAAGTGGTTAACCGCTTAATTAAAAACTGAAAACTTTCAAAACACCTCTCCAATTTTTACAATGACAATTTAAATTTAATGCAATTTGTATCCCTTTCGTTGCGGACTCATTCGCCTCGCGACGAGAAAGCAGTAAAAAGCTTTAAGTTCAAGGTTGGATCTTAACGAGTTTATGAGAAGGGAAAGTTAATTTAGTAGTTTTTAGAAAGATTTCTTAGAAAATAAGACATCAAAGTTAGCAACAAAAAAAATTTATTGTCTTTTTTTAAAATTAATCCATATTCCTGATTTTGGCACTGCCATAACAGCAACGGGAATCATTTCAAAAGGTTCAACAGTTTTTTCATTAACGCTAACCTCGAACTCTTTAATTGTAGCAACCGTTGCAATCTTCATCAAAGCAACAGCGAATTTCATCCCAGCACACATCCTTTTCCCCAATCCAAACGGCATATAAGTCCCTTTTCGAATTTTCCCTCTATTCTGTTCAGAAAACCTTTCAGGAATAAACTCCAAAGCTTTTTCAAAATATCTTTCATCTTTTTGTATCGCTTCAATCGAAACGAATACAGACATTCCAGGTTTAAGGCAGACAACTTCAGTTTGACCATCCTCTAAAGGAAATTCGTAATATCCAGTACATTTTTTTGAAGTTCCTTGGAGTGATGGATAAAGTCTCATTGTTTCAGAAACGACGCAATCTAAATAACTCATTTCTTGAATAGCTTCGAAGGTGATTTCACCGTTATATCTTTCTAGAACGGTGTCGATTTCTGATTTAAGTTTCTTTTGAACCTCCGGGTTTCTTGCTAAAGCGTACAGGATGTAACCACTTTGATTTCCCGTGTTTGGATCGGTGAAAAACCCGAAACACCATGAAATAACGTCGATTTCATCGAAAGTTTCACTTTTTAACGCCATTATTGCATCTAAAAAGTCGTTGTTTTTTAAATTATTTTCGTTGCGGTGTTTTAAAGCTGTTTTAATCGTTTGTTTTACAAAATCAACGACATCTTCAGTTATGAATCTTAATCGTAACAATTTTGCCAAAAACGGTGTCATAACCATAATAAAAAATTTTAAGGCCATCAATCGACCTGGTTCCATAATTTGATTTCCTAATTTTCGATACATAGCGTCATCTCGATCGAAAGATTCCGCTTCAACTCCAAAAGCTGATAAGGCGTTTGAATCTGCGACAAATCTCGTCATTAGATCTCTTACTTCTAAAGTTTTTTTGGTTTCGATGTATTCGATCATTCTTTTTGAAGCTTTCACTAAACAGGGTGTGACGTGTTTTATTTTTGCGTTTGAAAATAAAGGGGTGAATAAGTTTCGAGCTTTTTTCCATTTTTGGCCCACTTGGAAGAATGCTCCTCTCGCGGCGATTTCGTCTAGCTCAGGATCTAACACAAAACTATTTTGCCAGAAAAAATCGATATCTTTAACTAAGGTTTGTTCGATAACCTCCGGTTTTGTTAGAAGTAAACAAGGAGTTCGCATCATATAGAAGCCAACGTAAGGAGAATTTGGAAATTTCCTATAAATACATAATTAATATGTTTGTTTTAATTAGGTCTTTGTACTTACTGATATAATTCGTATATGTATTGGGTCAAATTTTTTTTCTGCCCAAAAGGAATATTTCCCAGAAATAACTTAGGAGGTTCAAAATTAACATTTCGCTTCTTCCAATAATCGTAATTACACGTTAGATATTTGTAAAATAAAAATAACACTAAAAAACTACACAGGATTAACGAAAACATTTCTAATTCTACGTTTAACTAATATTTCAATTTAAAGTAGAAGATTTAAGACAGGTTGTGTTCGGAGCAATGTTTACAAAAAACTGCTCGTCTCTGTGATCAACATTTTAAACAACGCAAAGCGACCTTGAAACTCGTGAAATGAGAGATATAATTTCATTGTATCTCCACTTAACCTTTGGAACTGTTTAAATTGACAAAAATAAAATTAAAATGCTTTGAAACACAAAATAAAAAAAGATGAATTAATAATAATAATAAGAAAACTAAAGAAACTAAATAAGTATGGCTTATCCAGAATTCATTAAAGAATCTACTATATCAATACGTTTTTTTATATCTCGATTACTTGTTGAGGAAAAAATTGTTAAAGTTAACCCAAAAAATACGATTTGGGTTGACACTTTTTTGGAATAATTATTTCAAAATTTTATTTCTAAGTTATTAATAGGAATAAAGAAACGAAATAAGGATAGTTTATTTAGAATTTATTGATGAATCTAATGTACCAAACCATTTTTTGATATCTCGATTAGTTGTTGAGGAAAAAATTGTTAAAGTTAATTTTGATTTGGGTTGACACTTTTTGAAATGATTTTTTAAAAAATTTATTTCTAATTTATTAATAAAAATGAAAAACGTAAATAAAGAGGGTTTATTTAGAATTTATTGGTGAATCTAATGTACTAAACCGCTTCTTGATACCTCGATTAGTTGTTGAGCAAAAAATTGTTAAAGTTAACATTGATTTGGGTTGACACATTTTTGCAATGATTTTTTCAAAAATTTATTTCTATCTTATTAATAAAAATGAAGAATCTAAATAAAGAGGGTTTATTTATAATTTATTGGTGAATCTAATGTACCAAACCTTTTTTTGATATCTCGATTAGTTGTTGAAAAAAAAAATGGTTAAAGTTAATTTTGATTTTGGTTGACACTTTTTTGCAATGATTTTTTCAAAAATTAATTTCTATGTTATTAATAAAAATGAAGAACCTATATAAAGAGGGTATGTTTAGAATTTATTGGTGAATCTATTGTACCAAACCGTTTTTTGATATCTCGATTACTTATTGAGGAAAAAATTGTTAAAGTTAACATTAATTTGGGTTGACACTTCTTAGCAATGATTTTTTCAAAAATTAATTTCTAATTTATTAATAAAAATGAAAAACCGAAATAAAGAGGGTTTATTTAGAATTTATTGGTGAATCTAATGCACCAAATCATTTTTTGATATCTCGATTAGTTGTTGAGGAAAAAATTGTTAAAGTTAATTTTGATTTGGGTTGACACTTTTTGAAATGATTTTTTAAAAAATTTATTTCTAATTTATTAATAAAAATGAAAAACGTAAATAAAGAGGGTTTATTTAGAATTTATTGGTGAATCTAATGTACTAAACCGCTTCTTGATACCTCGATTAGTTGTTGAGCAAAAAATTGTTAAAGTTAACATTGATTTGGGTTGACACATTTTTGCAATGATTTTTTCAAAAATTTATTTCTATTTTATTAATGAAAATGAAGAATCTAAATAAAGAGGGTTTATTTATAATTTATTGGTGAATCTAATGTACCAAACCTTTTTTTGATATCTCGATTAGTTGTTGAAAAAAAAAATGGTTAAAGTTAATTTTGATTTGGGTTGACACTTTTTTGCAATTTTTTCAAAATTTAATTTCTATGTTATTAATAAAAATGAAGAACCTATATAAAGAGGGTATGTTTGGAATTTATTGGTGAATCTAATGCACCAAACCGTTTTTTGATATCTCGATTACTTGTTGAGGAAAAAATTGTTAAAGTTAACATTGATTTGGGTTGACACTTTTTTGCAATGATTTTTTCAAAAATTTATTTCTGTTATTAATAAAAATGAATAACCTAAATAAGGATGGCTTATTTAGAATTTATTGGTGAATCTAATGTAACAAACCATTTTTTGATATTTCGATTACTTGTTGAGGAAAAAATTGTTAAAGTTAACATTGATTTGGGTTGACACTTTTTTTCAATGATTTTTTCAAAATTTTAATTTCTATCTTATTAATAAAAACGTAGAACCTAAATAAGGAGGTTTTATTTATAATTTATTGGTCAATCTATTGTACCAAACCGTTTTTTGATATCTCGATTACTTGTTGAGGAAAAAATTGTTAAAGTTAACATTGATTTGGGTTGACGCTTTTTTGTAGTGATGATTTTTTGAAGCTGGATACCATATATCTATCTAGGTCTATCTATCCGGCTATTATGATTATAATTTCTGAAGTGATACTCTATATTGCTACATTATTGCGATATTCGAATAAAAATGACATTAATAAGAAAGCTGATATGTTAATTTATTTGGATCAAGATACAAAATGAACTTTCTTGATGCTGATTTAACTAACTAAGCAACTCTAAAAAGAGGATACCTTAATTAATAATTGGCGATATTTCCAAAAGGATCCTTGAAGAAATAAATTTTATGGCGAATTTTGAAAATTATAGCGAATTATCGAAAATTTTATCAAAACTTCAAACATTATTTTCTCAAAAACTAAAAGTTATTTTTTAAAACGTGTTGATTCATATCAAAGAGGATACTTTTATTAATATTTTGGGAAATGTTCACACTCATATTCTAAGAAATCGATTTTATACGAATTTTTAAAACTTAATCGGCGAAAATTGCAAAATTCGAAAAAATTGTCGATTATTTCAAAAATTTATTTTGCAAGAACTAAAAGTGATTTTTCAAAACGGCTTTATACATTAAAAAGAGGGTACTTTAATTAATAATTAGTGATATTTCCACAAAGATTCTCCAAGAAATGAATTTTATAGCGAATTTTGAAAGTTATCGATGAAAACTGCAACATCGAAAATTTTATCAAAACTTCAAATATTGTTTTCTCACAAACTAAAAGTTATTTTTCAAAAAGTGTTGGTTTATTGGAAAGAGGACACTTTTATTAATATTTTGGAAAATGTTGATATTCATATTCTAAGAAATCGATTTTATACAAATTTTTAAAACTTAATCGGCAAAAATTGCAAAATTCGAAAAAATTGTCGATTATTTCAAAAATTTATTTCTCAAGAATTAAAAGTGATTTTTCAAAACGCCTTGTTGCATTAAAAAGAGGATACTTTAATTAATAATTGATGATATTTCCACAAGGATCCTTCCAGAAATTAATTTTACAACGAATTTTGCAACTTATCNAAAATTGTCGATTATTTCAAAAATTTATTTCTCAAGAATTAAAAGTGATTTTTCAAAACGCCTTGTTGCATTAAAAAGAGGATACTTTAATTAATAATTGATGATATTTCCACAAGGATCCTTCCAGAAATTAATTTTACAACGAATTTTGCAACTTATCGATGAAAATTGCAACATCGAAAATTTTATAAAAACTTCAAATTTTGTTTTCTCAAAAACTAAATGTTATTTTTCAAAACGTGTTGGTTCATTGGAAAGAGGACACTTTTATTAATAATTTGGAACATGTTCATACTTATATTCTAAGAAATCGATTTTATACGAATTTTTAAAACTTAATCGGCGAAAATTGCAATATTCGAAAAACTTATCGATCACTTCAAAAATTTATTTCTCAAAAACTAAAGACGAATTTTCAAAACGGTTTGTTGTATTAAATAGAGGATACTTTAATTAATAACTGGTGATATTTCCACAAGGATTCTCCAAGAAATGAATTTTTTAGCGAATTTTGCAAGTTATCGATGAAAATTGCAACATCGAAAATTTTATCAAAACTTCAAATATTGTTTTCTCAAAAACTAAAAGTTATTTTTCAAAACGGGTTGGTTCATTGGAAAGAGGACACTTTTATTAACACTTTGGGAAATTTTCATACTCATATTCCAAGAAATGGATTTTATACGAATTTTTAAAACTTAATCGGCGAAAATTGCAAAATTCGAAAAAATTGTCGATTATTTCAAAAATTTATTTCTCAAGAACTAAAAGTGATTTTTCAAAACGGCTTTTTGCATTAAAAAGAGGATACTTTAATTAATAATTGGTGATATTTCCACAAGGATCCTTCAAGAAATTAATTTTATAGCGAATTTTGAAAATTATCGATGAAAATTGCAACATCGAAAATTTTATCAAAACTTCAAATATTGTTTTCTCAAAAACTAAAAGTTATTTTTCAAAACGTGTTTGTTCATTGGAAAGAGGACACTTTTATTAACACTTTGGGAAATTTTCATTCTCATATTCCAAGAACTGGATTTTATATGAATTTTTAAACTTAATCATTGCAAAATGCAAAATACGAAAAAAATTTCGATCATTTCAAAAATTTATTTCTCAAGAACTGAGTGATTTCTGAACGACTTTTTGCATACAAGAAAATATATACACAAATTACAATACTTAAAAATAAGATAAAGACATGTAAAGAGTAGGTATACAATTCAATATGCATTGTTATAATTTAAGAACCCGTCTATGGTATAGAAACTGTGGTTAATTAATAGTTTTTTTACTTCTTTGGCAAACTGGTTGGCGTGGTAATTTGATATCTTGTTATACAATTTTAGGCCCCAATAGTCCACGTAATTTTGGGTTGTGTTGGTCCTGTGATATTGTTAGCATTCTTGTCAGGATTCCATAACTTGCAACACTTTCGAAATTTGCAAAATAAGCTATCTTTGCTGCTTCGTGAGTTGCGACCATTTTCATTCTCCTGATAGTATATATTGCACTGGCTAATTTGGAAGCTTAATCCGATATATGTGACTGCCAGATAAGTTTGATATCTACAACTTCTAATGCATTCAAAGATACCAGGAATTTGTTTTACTGTGTCAAATGCCTTACTAATTTTATTCTTCAAATTCTGCACATTTTGAACGTCTTCAGAATAAACAATTTGTTTTAAATGTTTCCTAAACCAAAAATCTAACGGATTTAAATCTGGTGAACGAGGTGGCCCTCCTCGGCCAATCCACTTATTGCCAAATCTGTTATTTAAGTATGCTCGAGTAGCGCGTGCATAATGTGCTGGTGCTCCATCGTGCATAAAGTAGCAATCTTCTAGAATTTGTTGAG